TAGATTTCCATGGCTCCAAGCTAGTGAGAAAAACCATGAAGTTGTTCTCTAAGAGGCAACCTTACTGTATGTACTAAATTATCAGATTTTCTTTAAAGACATCTACAGGTTTGGTATTTGGTTTAAAAAAAAATAAAAATAAATAGAATTTTAGGATGAAGTTGCAGTGTTAGGAGCTTTACAACATGTGTTTTTGTAGAATAAGTTTTTAAAAACTTTGTAAAACATCTATGTTTTTTAAACATTTCTATAAGTTTCATGCAGACATTAGCTCATTAGTGTAATTATTGTCTGTACCATTCTAAACCTACAGGAAATTTCAGTCAGACAGAATTGCATTTCTTTTTACCACACAGATCCTGCAGCAAGAACATCTCTCAGATTTTATTTTAGTCACTTCTGCAAGGTATCTCACTAGGTAACCTATTTGCTCCCTCTTACAAAGCTTTCTGTGCTCATTTCCTAGCTGCCACTCAGAATGACAGGCATGTTTGCATAAACTCCCTTTTCAGACAGCCTTAATTATAAGAGAAATATAAAACTTTGGATATTCATCCCCTGCCCCCCTCAAATAATGGAAAGGCATGTGCACCTGAAGAAAGAAACATTACAATAATCCATATTAAACATGTTAAGATGAAATTTCTAACCTGGATACAAATCCAAAGAGTTTCAGGTGCTCAGAAGGGCTGGAAGGCATCGGATTCATCAAGTCTCGGATCCGTGCTAAGCCAGCAATCCCGACTCCAACCACCACGGTCCCAAACATCTTGTTAATCTGACCAAAGGGGGAAAAAAAAAAAAAAAAAGCTCAACGTTTTTTTCTTTTAGAGGGGAGAGGAGCAGCTGGGAGGGGAGGTGGGAGGATGGATTACTCTTGAACCCTGCCTTCATACAGCCAAACCTTATTCAGATGTCAGCAACCAGCTAACAGAGATGTGATGCTATAGGCTACTGAGCTCACTCGCATCCCATTGAAATGTGGTCAAGCGGTACAGCCTGTCATAGGACTGGTGTTGAGACTTGTATTTAACAGCTATTATATCACAGCTCCGGCACAAAGTTCTTCCTTTCCGTGAATAGAAGGCAGACTTCAAAAGTGAGACATTCTTCTATTTATATCGCCGCTTCCATGCTGGAAAGGAGCCAAAAGGTTCTGCAAACCCAGCAGAGCTTTATATAAACCCTGCTGACTTCCCAAGTGTCTGCAGCACAGCCTGCTCTGGACTGCCACACGGACATTCACAGGGCACAGCAGCATAGCCGGAATACTTTGGGACAGGAAGCAAAGAGCATCTTTTCTTCCCCTGTGTAACCACTGGCACGTCCTACAATGTCAAGATGCAACCAACCATCTGATAATTTGGTCAAGATGCTTGCTTGACATTTCCACGCACCAAGAAAGCTCTGCCATCTCTTTAATGACAAGCAGGCGTGTCCTCAAGATTTACATCTCCCAAAAGCACATTCCTGCCACAACTGCATCATACGGAGGATGAGCCAGGTATTGCGCTCGCTGGCCGGGCTGCTGGGCCACTGGTAATAAATTCTTCTGTTGGTTTTATGATTTGCCATTGATTTGCAGAAGCACTGGGCAACCGGTGTAACCTTTCAAACCTGCACTGTTCCACCACTCTGAGGACTAGCAACACTTTGTAATTTTAAGATTTACAAGAAAAACAGCCTAAAACCAAGCCAAGTCAGCCCCACTGCATTTTTTGTTCCTTCCATCCTACGACAGCATCCCTTCAAACTCTGTTTCTTCTGTTTCGGTGTTCTCCTTCCTACTGCTGCCGATCCCTTCACCCAAGTGAACACTTTCAATTGCTTCCACTACCCGGCTGCAGCCCTTCAAATCATTCCGAGACTTAAATGGATAAATGGACAATCCCACTTCACTCCTCCTTGTGCCTCTTGTCTGACAGAATCACAGTGCAGCAGCACAGCCGTACATGACTGTTCTGACAGTGCTAGAGGTTGACAGCTGCTAAGAAATTACATTAACTGGCACAAAGGAAAAAAAAATAAAAGAAAGCCCCTCTCCAACCACATGTCATGTCTGGATTTTGTTTTTCTGTAAGCTCCTGCCTATGTGTATATTCCTGTCGGTGCTGAACTCTGCTTACTTGATACATGCCAAAGGGTAAAACACACAGCAGCATGTTTAATAGAAAAGAAGAAATGAGTGAT